TTTACGGTGTACACACAGTGTTTATGGTATGTTAAATGGTTTGTGAGTGGTATCAATGAAATCTACATTCCATATTGGATCCTTTGGTTGCAAGCATAATTGCAACGAATATAAGCACATCCTTGGTAAAAATTGGGCTGTAATAGAAATGAGATTGGTGCCACTCTTAAGACGGAAACTATAAGAACATATTGTAAATGTTCACTTTATCACAAATTTTTAAGTATGCAATATTGATTCAGTGATTTTTTTTTTAAGAGGTAAAACGTAAGTTATAGTCTTATCACAACCCATGCTAACTATTTTTAGTTGGGAGAGAAAAGTAGGCTTCTCTTTATCAGATCAATGGCATCTGGAGGGTATATATTTGCGTCCCGAAGTGCTCTGGGACACTACCCCGTGTGAAGGGTGCTATATAAATGCAGGTTGTTGTTGTGTTGTGCTAATGTGGAATGATACTTTGAAGGGGAAAAAATGCATTGTAATGCTACGTGTTGTTTAGAATATCTTTCTGTTAACAAAACTGCTGTTTTGTGGACACATGACTTTAATTCTTGTGAGTCCCAGCACCGCACCCTCCTCACCCCTCTCTCCTCCCCACCCCCCATAACAGCCAGTCACTCCCTATCTGGTCCTCACCAATCCCTAGTCACTCCACATTCAACCCCCCAACCACCCCTGTAATCCCAACCACTCTCTATCCACTGCCCATGAACCCACCTGCTCCGGCCCGCTCCCCATTCACTGTTGCTCACCTCCGCAACAACATGGAGTCCTGTAGCTCAGTGGTTAGAGCACTCGCTTTGCAAGTGAGAGACCTGAGTTCAATTCCAGGCAGAGGGCGAAACCTTGGGCAAGTTTCCTTACTCCACACAGAGCCTAATAATAATCCCTCCNAAAAACCAAAAACAATAATTAAATTGGTCATTTTCAATCTACGACTGTTTGTGGGACATTGCTGTGCGCAATTGGCTGCCGCGTTCGCCCACAAATATACAGTCAATTCACTTTACAGTGTGTTCTGTGAAGCGCTTTGGGACGTCCTCCCGACGTGAAAAGCGCTATATCAAATGCAAGGATTATTATTATTATTATTATTATATCCTAGTGAATGTAAAGTTACAATAATTAAGATCATAAGTGTTAGGCCTCGTGCTTTTTTCCCAGCTCCTGTCGCGTTCTGTCGAGAATTTATAATGGAGTTCACAGATAAATGTGGCAATCCAATTTATGTTGTGCTATTGGAACTGTTTCTTCTGCAGACCTGGTATTGTGACTTTATGAGACTAGTACACATTGAAGTCTTCAGTTGAATATTGGTCCCAAATTTGTAAGTTTCAGATTAATTTTCTTTCACTGGTTAATTTTAGTATCTAGAGATGGTATTTGATATGGCTTCTATAATATTCATGAAAATTATTGGATTCTGTTGATGCAGAATTCCTCTGGGGCCAAAAATGTAGTCTACACCAAGTTTCAAAAGCCTCACGCTGAATGAAAATGGTATATTTACATGCAAATAACGTCGTTCAGGAGCTCAATTGTAATTTAAAAAACCTCATTGTGATTGCATGTTGATTGGGGAGGTAGAATCTGTATTTGTAGAAATATATACGCAGATACAGTTTACATTCTTAACCTTTGTTTTGGAGTGTGTGGCTATTGCATGTATAATCAGCTTAAAACGTGTAACTCTACACTGATCATAAAATCAATATGGAATAACTATCCTCCACGTGTCTTAGACGCCCTGTGCTCTGCACCATCTGCTGCCAAGAGTGCACGTGACTTATTCCTGGGCCGCTGCGGGTGTCGCATGGAGATTACTTTTCTCCTTGTAAAGTGAATCACAGACACAATTCCTTCCCTCCCCCCACACCCTTTCTACCCCTCCCCCCCCCCCATTCATTACTACTCCATGTTTATTTTCCAGCTTGTTGTACTATAGTACTCGCTATTTTAAAGTCTTCATTTCACAATCCTGTGCAAGCTGCCCCACTGCTTGGATATGCCATTCTCTTCCATAGTCAGCATCCAAAGGTTCTATTTTTAGATCACCTTGACCTTGGTTCAGTTCCTCTATTCATTGGCATAGCTAGAATATCCCTCCTGATTTTGCAATTGAAGGACCATATTTTACACTCCTTTGAATTTTTCTGTACTTGTCCTCTAATTTTGGCGTTAGTGACATACATTGCCTCACAGCTGTCATAGCCTGGTCTAAATGGCAATCTTCATTACTCAGATATTATATTAATTGTATAGTTGCAGGCCTTTATCCTTCAGTACACTTTATAGAAAAATGTCACTGAATATTGTTTTGTTTTGTAAATCAAAGCCAAAATTCTGACAGCACACTTTGGCCTGTCTATCATCTTGGAATGTTTCAACTCTTGCAGAAACTTTTTTCAATTAAACTGTGAAGGAATTGAAGGGAGGATAATTTAGGGGCCTAGAGAAAATGTATTCTTTCCATTCCACCCCACCGACTTGGAGAGTGAAATCACATAATATGCTTAATCAAAGACTGAGGTTTAATAAGCAGATTCCTGTAGTCCTATAGCTCAGTGGTTAGAGCACTCGCTTTGCAAGTGAGAAACCTGGGTTCAATTCCAGGCAGAGGGCGAAACCTTGGGCAAGTTTCCTTACTCCACACAGAGCCTAATAATAATCCCTCTGAAACAAAACAATAATAAATTGGTCATTTTCAATCCACGAATGTTTGTGAGACACTGCTGTGCGCAATTGGCTGCTACATTTCTCCCACAAATATACGGTCAATTCACTTTACAGTCTGTGAAGCGCTTTGAGACGTTGAGAAGACGTGAAAAGCGCTATATCAAATGTAAAGATTATTATTATTCCTAGGTTTCTCTTATTTCGATCCTGAAGTTTGATTGACACCTGATCCTGAGTTTAACATCTTGTCACGTGTGTAGAGTTTTAGCCAAAGAAATGACCATCAATTCTCCCACCTTGCATGCAGCAGCAGGAAAGGCATAGCTTTTTATGCAGTTTCTAAATGCCTTTTTATTGTCATACCTTCTTATATTTTACCTGAGAATCTAGATGTTGAAATAAATGGTGTGCACTCCAGTGTTGTCGTCTGATCAACTTAATATTTTGTCCTGTAAAGAAAGCATTATTCCATAGATGACATTGTAGAGTAAAAGTGGCAATACCTATAGGGATTGAATTATTAAAAATAAAAGGCTTGAGGTATGGTGATAGGATGGAGCAGTGGGACTGAATTAACTTGTTTTGGTCAGACAGGAACCTTAAAATTGATCCCCTAAGACAGGAAGCCTAGCGAGGACTGGGATGATGGACAAGTGAGGATGTGAGTGGTGGAATTTGGGATAAATGAGAAGTTTATGGATGGTGGATCTAAGGAGAACAGTGATAAGTATTTGAAAAGTCCAGACGGGCACGCACAAAGGCATGAGTAAGTGTTTCGGCAGCATTTAGAGTGAATTAGGTGCAGAGGTGGGCAATATGGGTAAAGCAAAGCACTCTTGGTTGAGAACTGAAAGTGAGGGACAAAGGAGAGCTGAGGATCGAACTGGATACAAAGGATGTACACTAGTTCAGTGAGTGTGAAAGAGAGGCCAAGGTAGTGAGTGACCTGATCGGGTTAGCAGTGACCTGATTACTCAGAATTTACCCATTTTTGTAGCTCTGGGAAAAATCTATTCAGTGCCAGGTGCACTGTGTTTCTAGTATAGCTCAGGTCCACAGTAGACCTGAGCTCTAAGCAAACTTGGGTGTGTTATAACTGGGCTGATCTGTACATTTAGTTGGTTTGCATTGTACTTGAGTATTGTCATTTTTGTTTCTATTCTGAGAAGTAATTTGGATTTTGACTTATCTTCAAAAATGAAAATGTGTACAGTATGATAAGGACCTACAAATGTTTTACTTACATTCTACAGCTCATTGTAATAATTAGCTCAAAACCAGTGCTCCCTCTGCGTGTCAAAATGGTAACTTGCTTTATATTTCGAGTTTTGCAGATTGATTAAGATAACAAAAGTACCAGGTGTTTATGCTATAATTTAATCGTAACGTTCTCTGTGACATTCCCAATTGGCAACTCTGAAAAGATCTTTGAAATAACCACCTCACATGCTTTATGCTGCTTTCATGTTTTGGATCCTGGCTGCACTGATGTCATTATGTAAGTGACGTGATGAGGTTCGGTTATTTGTCCAGTTACTCTCAAAGGCATACTCTTGAGCATAAAACATCTTTGCTCCTGGTTTCTTTTCTTTGTTTTGGAAGTTGTGGTTGGAAATCTTCTGTGCACGTCTGAAGTCATTATGCCACTTACATGATTATTATTGTATGTGCATGTGTGCCTTGATGAGGATATGACTTAGTCAAGGTTAGTTGATTGGCAGATCGCTTTTCCAGGGGTAATAATTCCTTCAACAAAAATTATAAGTTGGTCATTTCAATCCACGACTGTTTGTGGGATTCTATTGTACACAATTGGCTACCCAGTTTCAATCACAAAATATAGACAATTCACTTTACAGTATATTCTGTGAAGCGCTTTTGACACGTCTTGAAGACTTGATTAGGCGCTATATCAAATGCAAGGACGGTTGATGTAGGATAACTGTGCTTACACATGATCACAGAGGTTTGGGTGAAGAAGATCTTTTGGGCTATTTGATCTCCTTTAGACTATTAATCCTGCCTTCTCATTACAATTCCTGGAATATGTTCCAGCTGTTGATCACAAATACTTCTGGTGGCACTCCTAGCTATGTTCCAAATAATCCTCAATCTGCTTGCTTCCTCTCTGCTATGTTGCTTTACCATCTTCCCACCCCCAACTTCCATGAGCACAGGGCTTCCCTACTCACAAAAACATAAATACCCAAATTAATCTATGTTATCTTGCATTTATACTTTGTTTCTAGAAAACTACTGGATTTTTTTCATACAGTCTATACCTGAATCTTAGTTTGATTTTTTTTTCCTTTTCACTCTAGGTTATCATTGAAGTGACAGACATGTTGCACAATGCTAGTTTGCTTATCGATGACATTGAAGATAATTCTAAGCTACGACGTGGCTTTCCAGTGGCACATAGCATCTATGGCATTCCATCTGTCATAAACTCTGCCAACTATGTCTACTTTCTGGGTCTAGAGAAAGTATTGACACTGGATCACCCAGAAGCTGTAAAAGTCTTCACCCAGCAGCTGTTGGAGCTACATCGTGGTCAAGGTTTGGATATACACTGGAGAGATACATATATCTGTCCAACATTAGAAGATTACAAGGCCATGGTATTGCAAAAGACTGGTGGACTCTTTGGTCTGGCTGTAGGCCTAATGCAATTGTTCTCTGAAAACAAAAATGATTTAAAATCTCTTCTCAACACACTAGGACTTTTATTTCAGATTCGGGATGATTATGCAAACCTGGACTCCATAGAGTATAGCGAGAATAAGGGCTTCTGTGAAGATTTGACTGAAGGGAAGTTTTCATTCCCACTTATTCACGCTATCTGGGCTAATCCAGAGTGCACGCAAGTGCAAAACATTTTGCGTCAAAGGACTGAAAATGTAGATGTAAAGAAATACTGTGTAAGCTATCTTGAAAAGGTGGGCTCTTTTGAATACACCCGAAAGATACTAAATGAGTTGGAAATGCAAGCATATAAAAACATTGAAGAACTTGGAGGTAATCCACAGTTAGTTGCAATAATTGAACAACTCAGCAAAATGTACAAACAAAGTTGAAGATAGCCACCACTATCTCATTTTTCCTCACAAACCACACCTCATTCATTCACAGTACACAACATTGCCTTCACTTTTATTAAGGGCCCCAAACGATCTTATTTCTGCAGAACTCATAACCTCAGTTCTATCACAAACTACAACAGAAAGCTTAATGAGTGCTTGCAATTAGGGTTAAGTGATGAATGAGAAGACTAGCATGATCTTAGTCTAATAGAAAGTTTGTTCGGTTCACCCATAAAATCATGACAAATATTTTTTCTTTTGGTGCTGGTTCTAATTTTTGGTTCTTAATGGGACTCCTCAATAGTGGAACCCATTAGAATTCCAATCAACCCCATGGGAACTCTACTCCTGAAATAGATCTAAGCAGAGTCCAAATGGATAGACACCATGTACTTCCATTTACCATAATGATTCCCCATGCAACTAATCTATTTGTTAAGGAATCCTTTTCAAAGATGTTATAATTTAGACTCCCAATATCACTATCTTGGATGACCCCAAGTTTAAAATATTACTCAATTGTCCCAGTCCAAGGTATATTTCCTCTCCCATTCTCTCACTGTTTCTCTTCATGCCTATTAGCAGTGCGCTGATATTCAGTGGGACCATTTTGGAATCCTTTATCATTGAAACAAAAGGGTCATTTACAACAACAACAACAACCACAAGATTGCATTTATAGAGCGCCTTTCACATCGGGAGGAGGTCCCAAGGTGCTGGACAGTTGGGTCGGGACCCGAGCAGATGGGAAATGGTCAGGGTGAGGGGAAGGGAGGGAGCGAGGAGGGGGTAGAGAGTCGAGAGGGGAGGTGAAGGCACTTTTGAAGAGAAAGGTCTTGAGACCGGCCTTGAAGGAGGAAAAGGAGGAGGCAGCGAAGGCACTGGGGGATAGAGTTCCAGAGCCTCGGGGCTGAGAGGCTGAAAGCCCGGCCACCGATGGTAGGGCGGTTGGGGCAGGGGATGTGGAGCAGACCGGAGCCAGAGGAACGGAGGGTACAGGCAGGTAAGTAGTGGGATAGGAGGTCGGAGATGTAGGAGGGCGCAAGGCCGTGAATGGCCTTGTAGGTGAGGATGAGGATCTTGAATTCAATCCTCTGGGAGATGGGGAGCCAGTGGAGGCGAGAGAGGGTGGGAGTGATGTGGTCGCGAAGCCTGGTGCGGGATAGTACACGAGCTGCAGAGTTCTGAATGACCTGCAGCTTGTGGAGGGAGGAACCGGGAAGGCCGGCGAGGAGAGAGTTCCCGTAGCCCAGCCTTGAGGTGATAAAGGCGTGAACCAATGTTTCAGCAGCGTGAGGGGTGAGGTAGTGCCATAGTCTGGTGATGTTCCGGAGGTGGTGGAAGGCAGTGCCAGTTGTGGTGCGGATGTGGGGAAGAAAGGACAGCTCAGGGTCGAACAGAACACCGAGGCTTTGAGAGGTGGAGAGTGCAGCCTTGGATGCTGATGCTTTCAGCGCCTGAATTTACTCAGCTTTGAGGGTACTGGGAGAGACATGCTGCAACGATGCTTCCCATCTGTACTGCAAGAAGCTGTATTGCCAATTGATGAAAATGTTTGAGGATATTGGGTGGGGAGACGGAGAGCTGGGTTTTGAGGCTTCTTGTAATCTCTTGATAAAATAGCTGCTGTTGCATATTTTTTGCAATAAAATCTTAGAAGTCATTATTATTGAGCAAAATATTTTACCATTGTCTTTAAAGTGTATGGGTTCTGACTTTTTTTATTTGCTTCCCTACTCATTAACCTGCCAAAACATGCCCCAGTGCCTTGGGACATCCTCCTGACGTGAAAGGTGCTTTACAAATGTAATTTTGTTGTTGTTGTTGATTCTGTTCAAGCTAATGCCCAGAGATTGAAGCCATGCAAGCAAGGAAGGTCCCAGGGACAATTTGTTGCTGAGTTAGCTGTTCCCAGTCAGGGCAGCTGCAAGAGTGCTATTACCTCATACCATTGGGCTAAGGAAGGGTAAAGTAGGCTGTCTTGTTATTTCTGATCAGTATCCAGTGACCTCTGTTGAAGTCTGAGCATCAGGTGAGAACAAATATTGGGCTATCTGTGATTTTCCTCCTTGTGGTTGAATAACCTGCCAAAACATGCACATGAATAATAACCATTTGCTTTAGGTGCCAGAAAGGTGAATATTGATATGTCTGAATTTTAATTTCAGAAGAGCACTGCCCAATGTCTTCCATTCTCCACACCGGTCATCCTGTGACCTTTCAATGAGGTAGACAGTTACTGCTGAGTTGGGGACAATTTTCTGCTTTGAGCCCATGCTCATGAGGAACTGGAGTAAGTCTTACTGAATTTATTTCACAAAGGACCTGACTGATAGCAGGCCAAGGTGACATTCATCCCTTCACTCCTATCTGTCCTGGAGATGGAAGGCTTGTGATACCCAGTATTGACAACACTGAACAAGTTTAATAATTGTAAAATCTTAGAGTATTATTACTGCCATGAAACTGAATAAATGCATTATTGGATCAGGAGTTTTTATTGTATTTAAACATTATATTGCATTGCCTTTTGTAAATTTTCACTTGCTGTCCTTTGAAGATCTGAATAAATACAATGTGCTTTGGATAATTCTTACGCTTTTTAATCGTTGCCATTTGAACATTTTGTAGTAAATTGACAATCGAGTTAAGATGGAAAGGGGTGGTTCCACAAATGGTTGGTTCCACAAATGGTTCCAACAAGTGGTTGTTAAAATCAAGTTCGTAATAGTATTTAAAACTGAATTGTATACATATTTATAGGTATTGAAAAAGAGCAGGGGAATGGGAGTAGAGAGCATTGACTATCACCAGGTACAGATCTAAACAGCTGATTTAGCCTCCATCTTTACTATAAAGTCTGATACTTTTTGAACATATTGAACTGGAGTTGTTGTGAAAAGTGTGTGTGCTCTTCGGAGTTTGTAGTCTTCAAAATATTGTTGTTAACTTCTGTGTGTGCTTTTAAGACCTCCTGGAAAGGTGATCTCTAAAAATATTGTCCTGCCTCTTAATGCTATCCAGCATTTTAAAGAAGAATGATGCACCCTGAGCTTTCTGTGCCTTGACACCTGGCTAGTTTTCTTTGTGCCTATATTCCTGGATGTGCTGAAGATTTTGTACCATTAACCAAATATTATATCCTTCTGGTTTGGATGTTTGTAGTTCCTAAGTGAGTTCAACAAACTTTGTCATGCATGTTAATTATTGTTACCAGTTTTGTAGAACTTGCTATTCAGTCAAGATTTCAGCTGTTTGAATGCTACTGAGTCTGATGCAGGTTCTCCATAGGACTCAGTTAGAAGGGCAAGCCGCCAGATATTCCATTGTATTTTATCAGGAGCATCAGTAAGTCTGAACTTTTTAAACTCCCATCATATATCAAATGCAAGGATTATTATTATTGTCATATTGCCACCCTTTGACAGTATAAATGTTAAATTTTGACTGATGCAAGTTTTTTTGCTGAAGGCAATGGTTGTTCAAATCTTACAGTGTATGAATCCAGATATACAATGCTTGACCTTGTACACAACTTCTCCTGTTAGAAAAAGCTCCAAAAGGAATTTTAACCTAAATGGTTAGAACGTGTAGCCTGTGACATTCGGAGATGTTTTCTAAAGTGTATTCAAAGCCTGACCAAAATTGCAGCAACTCCAAATCAGTGTGTCTGAAGTCCTCCAAAGGCTTCGCCAAAACATACAAAAGCACTCCACCCATAGGAACTGGGGATTTGATCTGGAAACAGAGAAAATTTAAATAGTTTAAACTGTTTTTAAAATCACTGAAAAGCATTATACACTGCAGGGCGAAGTTCTAGTAAGGTATGAACGTCAAATGTTCCATCTGAGAAAAAATCGCTACCTTGTGGTAATATTTCTGCAGAAACTCAAGTTGGCTGATGCTATTTACAGTGGAATGTCTTACCCAGCAACTTCAAGATTTTCTTCTTTGTTGAGGAGACGGCTTTGGCAGAGTACGTCTGTTGGCATTCTGTCAGTAGAACTTGGTAACAAAATAAGTCGGTGTAGATATTCAGCCAACTATATACACAGAACATGTTAAATTGTTTTATTTTTAAAAATGCTGTGCTTTTCTCACTGCTTATGTGCTTTGTCATCTGCCTGCATTTTGCCATTTGCAATCTTAGCATGTAAATGTTTGCATTGAGACAAAAATAGCAAAAATTAGGTGGTTTCCTCTTTCTCTTTCTTCCCCCCCTCCCCACCATTCCCATCAATCTTCCAAGAAATCTGTAGCTTACAGCTTGACTTGATCAGAATCTAGTTTTGGCTTCATGACAATAAAAGAGAGGATACTTTGATAGAGCTGCCAGCACAGCTTTTGCAAAACTAAAAGCCAATTATCTGCCACACAACTTTCAAACAGCAACTTGATGGAGATTAAAAAGCGGCTTCAGGCAGAGTGTAGATTGCAGCGGGGGAGAAGTTACAAAATTTTGACAATAACTGCAGCTTGTACAGCAGTAGAAGTACAATCAACCTCTGTGCCTTTAGATAAGATTGGATGCTGGTGGTGGAGAGGTAGGGAAGAAAAAGCAAGAATATCATTTGAGGTCCCTACTTTTCACTATGAAATGCTCTCTGATAAAAAAATTACTTGTTTACCACTTGAAGACTGGATTAGGGTTGACTATGATGGCATCTACAAATGAATGACTTACTGTTGGGATGGTTGGGTGAGATCTTGGAGAGTTTCTGGTGCCTGTGGAACTGGATTCCAGCATGAGTTGGTGTGCAGCAGAAGGGAGAAAAGGGACAGGAAGTGGGAGAAAGGCAAATCACATTTTTAAGGAACTAAAAAGTCTAAAATTAAAAAAAAGAAACTGTGCAGTATTGTCTGGTAGCTGAGGGGTTAGCAGGCTCGCCTCACAAGATAGAGGACCTCCCAGGCGCAGCGAAATGTTAGGCAAATTTCCTTACACCACAAACTTCTGTTTACCTAACAGTAAATAGGAACCCAGTTGTTACTTGATTGGCAGATCTCTTTCTGGGAAGTAATAATTCCTCCAAAAAAAATTGGTCCCTTGATCCATAACTGTTGTGGGTCACTGCTGTGCGCAATTGGCTGCTGCGTTTCGCCCACAAAATAGAGTGGGATTCACTTTACAATATATTTTGTGACGTGCTATGAGACATCTCAATGATGTGATTAGATTCTATATCAAATGCAAGGTTATTAATATTATTTTTATATGGCCGAGTGTAACAGTGGCCTTAGATGAGAAGCCATTGTGTTCAGATCCTGGTCTGTTTTAAGTTAGTTATCTCAGTTGGTTTGCTGCAGTTGGCCTCTGTAACCCAGAGTTTCTGCTCTTGATGGCTCTCAGGAGATTCATGTGGGAAGGGTTTGTATGTACAAATTTTTTAAAAAAATCATACTAGGATATTGTTTGTCTTAACAACCTTTTTCTTCCCTCTCCCACTCCAAACATGCTTAGCAGCAGCAGAAAGCCACATTAAAACACAGGAAAATAACAGGCTGAATCACTGGAGCGGTAAAACATTTGGCCCTAGAACACATGTTCCAGTATGAAGTATATGTTTTGATAACTCCACACAACTCGTTCGCATGCAGACAATTTCTATCTAATGCTGTAGTTTTTATATGTTACTTACTTCTACGTGGTGTTTCAGGAGCCAACCTGAGTTTGGATTCTCCTAGAAA